ACGATAGTCAATACAGAATCGCAAGCTGCCATTTGGTTTCTTGACAAAGAGCACAGGAGCAGCGAAGGGTGCCTGGCTTGTAATGTAACCGTGTGGAGTGAACCACTGCTTGCTGTGATGAATACGGAGTCAAACGGAAACTGCTGTATTGAGCGAACAACAAAGTGAGGAAGGAAGAGAGTTCCAGAGGAACGAGAGCTTAAATACAGGATGCCAGCAGCGCGCACGTGACACATACTACATGCTGCGCTACACGTGATCAACCCCTAGTTCCTCCAACTCCGTAACAATTATATTACTAATATCCTTTAGGTTAATTTAAAGTACTAACTTCTTTCTTTAATTTTATATAAGTTAATAGTTTAATACTTATTCTTATAACGCTTTATTAATAACAAATAAATACTCTAGCTCTAATAATATTACCTCTATTATAAAAGGTTCTATTACTAAATATTATAATAAAACCTACTACTAACATAAACCTATTTAATACTCTAAATATACTATAAAGGATTATTACCCTAAAACCCTAGAATAACTACATTAAATTTCTTATTTTATCTTGGGCACTCGAGTAAATAAAAAGTAGAAAAAAGTATTAATTATTCTTTATATATATTATAAATACTTATTACCCTAAAAATCTCGAATAACTAAATTAATTATCTTATTTTACTTTAGATAAATAAAAAGTAAAAAGTATTAATTATTATAAACTATCCGTATACCTAGTAAATTAATTTAGTTACCTAAGATTTTTACAATAATATTTTCATAATTCATAACTTAGGCGTATATAGAATAATAGGTAAGTTTCTTACTAAAATTAGTTTTTATAAGGTTTACGCTATTAATACATTACTTTAAAAACCCGGAAGAATTATTAATATAGTATTACTCATTTAAAAAAGTATAAATTCCTAGAGACGACACAATCCTACATACAAATAAAGAATCTTATAGTAACTACGTACGGTCCAATCTATTTAAGATTCTTTAATCCACTATACTACTAGCATGTTCCCATTTCCACTTACTAATATCCCATTCACAAAACAAAAAAACAAGCCCAAATCCCAAATTCAAACCCCCTAGACCACCTTAGACGAGCCATTCATCGTCATCCAACCAATTTCCTTCTCCCAAGTCTTCTTCAACAGGCTCTGCTGCTGATACCACAGAGAGTACCAGTGCCTTCAAACGTTTGCCAGGGTGCTGTACATCATCAGAATAATCTTCCCGGGGACGCTTGCTGCCTGGTGTAGAATGTTGAACTTGTGGTGAAGGCAGGGAGGAAGGTTCTTGCTGATTCATCGATGTTTGTTGCTGGGGACTCGATGCTTCTTGTGGGGTAAATGCTGGCGAGGGCATCAGTGGAGTGTTGTGCGAGACAAAGCCAAGAGCGGATTCTTGGGATACGATAGAAGCGAGACTTTGAGAGGCGTTTTGGGTTTGTTGAAGATCTGGTTGAGAGCTACCCAAAATCTGGCGGTGCGCCTGTTGAAATGCGAAGTGGATATTTTGTTGTCCCTGCATAATGGCGTAGTTGGATTGTTCAGCTCGAGTAGCTTGTAATGCTTGAAATCCAGGCAGCTTTTGTCGTGGCAGCATTACGTATCCATGCCCACCTACAGTCTTCAACCAGTCAACGAGCTTTTGTTGGGGCTTTGCGGGGTTCCGGAGGACAATAAGATGGTTATCCTGAATTGGGGTTGCGCAAACTGGCTCAACATATATTTCGTCCTGGGGATTCTCAGGAAGCGAAATTTTTCCAACGACAAAAGGGCTCTGAATTTCAACCGGTCTTTCATTGTTGAGCGCATTTTCACCAGATTCAGCTCGCAAAAAGGCGGCATTTCTGGCAGATGACGAGCGTCGCGCGGTTGCCGAGGAGGCATTGGTTGTTGGAGGTGCTGCCAGGTTTGAATTGTTAATGGGCTTCGCTGGTGCACGGCGAGTTGCCTTTGCTGGAGGATTTGCGGTTGTGGATCCAGACAAAGTACCAGTAGCGATCTGAGAGCCTCCATTACTACCTTTAGAGTGGAGCTGCTTACGATTTTGAGCCAAGGTACGGCGTTGCGACGCTGTCAAGGTAGCATTTCCAGTTTGAATGTTTTGTTGAGATCCCATGGAGAGAAGCTGTTGGGCTTGGCTTGATGGAACAACTGCCGGTGGTGAAAATGGATTAAGAGCAGGACCTCCTTGCTTACTTAGCTTAGCTTGATTGACAACTCGGGCCAAATACTCCTTCTGACTGCTACCCAATGGCACCCCGTGTCCTTGATCTGGCATTTGTTGCTGTTGCAGAGAATTACCAGTCTGTGGACCTTGCATATGCTGAGCTTCAACGGAGTTGGCAGTCGTTGCGAACTGTTGAGGGTACGAAATTGGTGGCCCAATGCTACCAAGACCTTGTTGAAAACCATTGCCTGCATCGGTCATTTGGTATGAGACGCCTCCCATCAAGGGCATTTGGTTGGGGGAGGTTCCCATATAAACGGGCGTATTGTTGTTTGGGATTTGTCTACCCATCGATGTCATCATGCGGGCTCGTTCTTGTTTCTCGGCAAGCTTCTTCAAAGTCTCAGACTGTTCGGCTGCCTTTTGTCTACGGTTATGTTGACCCATAACCTCATCTGGCGGTGTAACTGCATCTGGTGGAGGCGGATACTCAAAGCGTGGCGTAAGTGGTTCTTGCTCTTCAAGCATGCCAAAGCCATAAGGCGACTCTCCTGCAAACTGGTTGCCATGATTGTTCTGACCGAAAGGCTGTTGAAAATCAAATGCCCCCCCTCCAGTAAAGTTGTTTCCCCAGGAATTTGGTGGATAAGCTGCGCCCATATGGGATACCTCGTGTTGAGCTGCAGTCGCACTCGCTTGTGAATGGAAGTTAACGACCGCTGGGTCGGCTCCCTCAGGCCAGGGGGTGTTCAAGTTGGATTGCTGAAGAAGACCAATGCCACTGCCGAATTCGTCATCCAAAGCACCAAAGTTTGACTGGAGATTTTGAGAGTTATCCGAGACCATCCTAGCTTCTGGAATGGCTCTAGAAGATGCCCGAGATCCCGAGCCATGGTGAGAAACATTACCGGACAGTTGATTGTTGATCTGGTTGTTTTGATATGGATTATTTTGATAGAGGTTGTTTTGAGATGACTTGTTTTGGTATGGAGATGAATAAGCACCATGATTTTCAACGCTCAATCGGAGAAGAGGATCGATTGCGTGATTTGAATTCGCCGACTCTGGAGCAGCAAGTTCCTCACGATCGCTATCATCATTTTCGCTGCATTTACAACCTTCTGATCGCTTGCCGAAATAGCCGCTGAAATAATAGTCAGCTGGGCTCTCAGCTTTGGAATACATCGAGAATACTTACTCGTGAACGCCCCCTAGAATGTATTTGACACTTCCCACGGACATTTCCTTTACAAGCCATTTGGGGTTCTCCTCCTTGAAGAGTTTACAAATGTGCTCCGAAGACAATCCTTCCGTCTTCTTTCGGCATACCCAGCGGGTGATGGGTCGTGTCCAAATCGAAGTGCCAACCATCTTGGCTGTGCTCCGCGGTGTCCAGTCGAAGGTGCGGGGATGGTGGTCGTGCGAAGGCGAGAGCAGAGTCGCGGCGCGGCAATGAGAATAACAACAAAGTTGTTTGATGGTGCGAATGTAATTTTTGAATGTTCCGAAATACGTAGTGCGCGATGCAAAAGAGTGACAGATCGTCAAGGTAGAGTATTGGAAGTGGATGGGTTCGAATGCTTTCGCGCTCTGAGAAGATGCGGAGAGCCTTGATTCAGAAAGTTGGTGGATGGTTTAGAAGCGAGCTCAAGAGCTGCTATTGCGCCAGGCGGCGAGGGCGGTGAATGGACTCGACTGCTCGAGGTATCCGTGAATGGTCACCTTTGCAATGACGACTTCGCCCTTACTGAATAACTCCAGCCACCCGTGAATAATGAAACCTCGCTGCGAATATTTGTCTTTGACCGAGTTCTGAGATGTAGAGTATCAAATGACCTGACGAGTCCGCAAGAAGCGTATGATATGGATCCTTATCAGCACGATCAAGCACTTTAGGAAAGTTGTGAGTATTTTTGCATCTCCGAGTCGCCGATATGACACCCGAGGCCGCGACGCGGAACAATCATATCAACAATACTAAGGGTCTGTTGCTATGGAGAATTGCACCAACCGTGAATGGTTCGATCCATTGACTAGAAAGACAATAAGATGACCCCGTAGCAGGAATCATTTTGTTGATACAAAATGAAACCATTTAATTTTCGGTGAAATGAAAAACTCGAAAAAAAAAAAATCCAACCAAAGGGAGGTAAACAAGAAATGAGAACACATCGGAAGATGTCATGACAGAAATCTCTAGGTGTGCTATTGGAAATGAAAACGAAAAGTATATGCCAACTGAGAAATCAACTGACTGACTGCCAGCTTATATCTCAAACAGATTGCAGACCAGAAATTATGTCTTCCTCGAGAAGAAAAATATGAAGAAGGCCAGTAGAGAGATAGCAAGTAGCATCCTTCTTTGGGATGCACAGCCATTATTTTCTTGAAAGGCAACCACTTGGTCCAAAGACTTGATAGGAACTACACACAGAGAGAATCCTTGGACTCAAAATTTGGAGTATCAGTTCCCTTTTTTTGTGTTTTTCTTTTTGGAGAGAAATGGATGCTTCGTCAGCCAGTGCACAACATTGGAATGACCATATGAGAAGTTTCTTGCCAGTATCAGATTCCTAGGGTACACTCTGGTCATGAACATGTGGATAAAGAGTATAGACTCTCAAAGAGAATCCTAAGAGGACCCTTTGACCGATATCCCATCGCCATGGCGTGGTTGACAGCTTGGGTGACTCAAGTGAGGGGTTCGCGATCTCCTCCATAGTGAAGGAGACAACACCAGGCAACCGATTTATCGTAACTGAAGATGGCTCGTTGATGCGATGAGGAATACTGTATCGCAATTCTCCAATTCAAGATGGATTGCGATCCAGCGTCGGTTTGATTTTGTTAGGAAGAAGCAGGTTGTAGTGTTGTTGGAAAGTATGGATCTGGGTGACCGACGCGTTTGAGATGTCGTTGAGAAGGAGCCATTTAGCCGACCGCCGCTAGTCCCCTTTTGTCGGAAGCGACGATCCACCAACAACCACCAACTACGAGTATCTAACGAGGATCATGCACCTAATTGTATAGAGCAATTCGTCCAAAGATGGATAGCAATTGGGTGGTTATCGCTATTTGAACAACTGTCACAGTAATGGTGGCTGGCTTGGCGCTCCACTACTGTATCAGAGTTTGGATGTGTGTGAAGTGTCACCCGCTCACATTACTGTATATATGCCAGATCGGTGTAACAATCAACAAACATCAATCTAGAACAACCACCTGATAGTCAAAATCAATGGCAATAGATCTATCTCTCAAACCTTTATCTTCTTAAGTTGAGTTAAGTAATTACCTGCATCTTGAAATTTATCTCTTGGATTGTCTCAAAAGCCAGATCAGTTGTTGAACTGTACTAAATTTTTGAAACAACCAAGAATCATTGAAGGGAGCCGTCATCATGAGTCACTCTATTTACTGACAACCTTGTTCTACACTGTGAAACAAACCAAGGCCATTATTTGTGCTTAAATCAGCCCGCCTGCATGTGTATTGCTCATCAACCTTATATCAAGTTACATGCCTCCATGTGTACGAATAGACCCGCCGATTTCATTCTACTAGCTACTGTTATTACTCCTCACAATAAAACCACAAAGACTTATTTAAAACCTATAAGCATCATCATCATGGTTGATTAGCGTCTAGAGAGTTGACTGGAATTTATTTTATACTTTTGCGATTTTCTTTGCATTTATTGTAGCCAATGCAGTGGCAGGTGTCTGGTACTGAAATTGTGGGATGATTTGGTACAAAAGGAGCATGCAGGACCACATTCTGCAGTAGTAATTCACAACTCTCTACTTTCTTCAGGAATCGATTTATTTCTACATAAACCAGCTCATCCTCCAAAAAGCAGAAACTCCCCCTCTGACCCATCCCCATAACCCCCAACCCCAAGATCACCTCCCCACTCAACGATAAACAATCTCCACATCCCCTTTAGGAAACCTCCTCAACTGATCCATGATCTTCACATCCCCCATATTACTCTCCACAACAATCTTATCAAAGCAATGCATTCCATTCGTATACCCCTTCAAATCCTCCTCATCCAGATTCCTCACTCGGGGAGTGTCCGAGCTCTTGCTTTTCTCGTGCGTCAGCGAGTGGCTTCTGTGCACCGGTTCAGGTGAGGGGGTAGAGGGAAGCTGGAGATTGTTTTCTTGGGATATGGAGTGGAGGGTTCGTGAGGAGATGGCGTATTTGTGGACGCGGTAGATGAGCCCTTTTATCAGTCCGAATTGGATGAAGCGTCGTACGTCGATGTAATTTAGGATCGGGAAGTTTTGGTCGAGGTGGAGTTTTAGCCATTCCTGTGAAATTGTTAGAGAGTTTCCCAACTCAATAACGGAAAGCACCACGGATCATTTGAAATTAAGAAAATTCAAACCTTCAAAGTACGGGAACTGCAGAGCGTAGTATACAATCTGCACAAGTAAAAATTCGGAAGCCTTGGCCCATTGATATAAACGTAATTAGCACACTCATCCATGATTCCCTCTTTGTCATCCATGAATTCCGTAATGTCGGGAGTTGGAGCATATATGTTTCCAATCAGGAACAAATCCACCATGAGGATGGAATCATAGTATAAAAGGTGCTGCAGTGCAAGCTTGGTCAAGGGAAGAGAAACATCAGCGTCATGAGCGATGCGTCGCACATCCTTGATCCCGTCAATATGTGGAAGAATTCGTATCATCGTCAAGTCCCAAGTAGCGTCCGTCACCGAGTCGAATTTGGTTTTCGAAATGGGGACGTGCCAGGATTTGACGGGTGGTGGTGGTGTGTATAATGGAAATAGTTTCATGTTGATCGTATTTGCATCGTCTGGCTCTCACTTCAGCTTCATATCCCTCGAACTACAGAAGAATAAACTTACCGACAGGTATCATGCATTCATTATAATTATTCACATCCTCCTTAATGATCTCGAGCAGCGCAGAGATCGACCGCCTTCCCTTGGTACTAACCGTATCCTCCAAGCTCAAAAACTGATTCTGAATCTCCATCTCCGTAAAGGTACTCGCCAAGCGTCTGACCACCGCTTCATAAGGCGTCTTATCCACATCGAACCCAATAACGATGCCAAAATTAAACATGAATTCGTTGCGGTCGTACATCTCATCATAAATACAAACCGGGTGACCTAAGATCCGATATTTGTTATCCGGGTCACAGATCGTGACATAGCGGTTGCAAAAGGCTTGTCGAGGGAGTATGTACTCGGCCATGATTTCGAAATCAAAGAGGCGCGGCTTGTCGATATCTGGTTCTGCGACGATGCATCCTGGCGGTGACTGGTGAAGCACTTTTGCTCCTAGATTTTGTCAGAAAATCCCAATGCGGATTGAGGATGTATACTGACCCTTTTGAGGGAGAAAGCGGGCGTAGAAGATTCCCTCAATCATCTCTCGCGCGAAAGAAGGAGGCTTCAAGAAATCCCGTCTCACAGCATTTTTTCCCGAATTGTTGCTTCCTTTCTCCGTGGAGAACTACTGGTCTCAAAAAGTCGTCAGTCAGTTATTCATCCGTCACCTGAATTGGTGAACTATCAGTTTGACATTGTCATGTTGAACGTGATGTCAGAATCATCGGCCCGGATCGATATGAGGTCCGGTAGAACGCGATAGCAGAGCACAAGGTGATTGGCTCACTAACCGAGGCTTGCATGCTGTGGTAACTTTTCAAACGTCTCAACGACATCTTTGCTTCCTCTACTCTTGTACACCTGCTCGATGGCGTCTATCATCTCATCCAAGTGGATAATTGAAGTTCAATGGCTGAATTGAGGTTTGTCTGCCCTCGGTAGTGAATTGAAGCTTCTTTTAGCGGCTTNTTTTTTTTTTTTTTTTTTTTTTTTTTTTTTTTTTGGAAAGTTAGTCAGAATCACGTGTTTGCCAGCTTGCTTTCTTTTGTGCGTTCCGTCTAGATGAGTTCTTGAAATTTCACTTTCCAGAGAGTCAACAACTAGAATTATTAGAGATTTCTTTTGTCGTTTAGAGGTAGCTTAGATTCGGTCTTCGTTGTGGTAGAATTCGTGGGTTTGATCTGGGGCCAAATTTGGCATTTCTCAAAGCATCAAGAAAGGCCAAACAGGACTGCATTTCTGAGTTACACTTCTTCTCATTTTTGATTCTCTTCAAGTCGTCTCCTAGATCTGAATCATGGGTCTAACCAGCATCAACGGTGAGTCTCTGTCCTCCACCTCAATATCACACACTTCTCACTGACTCCACCAAAGTCCTCGACCTCCCACGTCTCCGCGACGAACCATCCTTCAAAATCCTAGTCCAAGCCCTCGAAGCTCTCGCCATCAAACCCTCACTCTGGAGCGGAGAAGCCACACCAACAGAAAACACAGTAGCAACCTCCCGATATCTCACCTCGATTCTCTCCAGTGGCTTTGAATGGTTCCAAGATCCAACAAGTGAGAAAAGCCATGGACTTCTAGCTGAGGAGCAGAAAGAGTTTCTGTGGAACTTGGCGAGTGCGAGACTTACTGAGAGATGTGGTCGCTCTGGTATGTCCTCGTATTGTACTTCATACTTTACAGCGTCATACTAATGAAGTGACAGCACAAGGAGAATTAACACGCACTTGGACAATTCCAGCAAACGAGAACCATCCAGATCTCAACATCGTTATAAGAGAACCCCCACTAGTCCGTATCCCCATCCCGTATCAAAACCACCCACCTGCTCACTACCTAATCATACAGACAGGCGACAACCTCGGCCACAAAACCTGGGGAACCGCCTGGGCAATCGCCCAAAAACTCGACCATTTCCACCAATACTTTTCCCACATCCTCTCCGTCCCCTCCTCCAACCCCCAAATCCTGGTAAGCAACTCCAACCAAAAAGCAAAAACTAAACTGCCAAAGAAGCTCATCATCGCTCTCTAGGAATTAGGATCCGGAACCGGCCTCCTAGGCCTCGCCGCCGCCGCCATCTGGAAAACCAACGTCATCCTCACCGACCTACCCACCATCCAAGAAAACCTCCTCTTCAACACGCACCAAAACACCCCCCTCCTCAACTCCAGAAACGCACTCGTGACACCCGATATCCTAGATTGGACATCCCCCTCCACCGCGCTCCCAAACATCCCCTTGAAACAATTCCCAGTACCTCCCCCTCCCCCCCTCCCTCACATCCCCACAACTAACACCCCCCAAGCTCATCCTCCTAA